ATTAGTTACGCAAGGCAAAACGTTTTTTGTGAAAAGACACAGGTATGAACCTTTCATCGTAGAATAAAAAAACCTTACCATAAAAATTACAACCATAAACCCATAACCGTAGAATAAGAAACCCTTTTTATGAAGGGTATATTGATGAACCTTTCTTTTTCTCCGCATAAACCCTTTTTTCATTTAAAATACCCTTTTTCTCAAAAACCCTTAAAGGGTTTGTGCGGTTCTCCTAAACCCTTTAGGAGTTTAGGAAAATTTTCCGAAGGTACTAGGGTTTCTTATTCTACGAATTTTTTTTACAGTGTACGGTGCTTCGCATACGATCATCGGTTACGACCACTGCATTTTGCCGTATTATTGTCGTTTACGACCGTTTACTGGTCGTTTTATCCGACCAGGGTAGTGGCCAATCAAAACGATCATTTTAGCCTCCTGAATCCCGAGAATTCTTGCGTTCTATTCGAAGCTAGACAAAAATAAAAAAATCACTTTCTTTTGCGTTCTGTCGCTCTCAATCAGTTGTATATATATGTCGCAGGAGAAATTAAAATTTCTGGAAAATTTTAAATTTTCCTAAATGTTCCTAGCAAAAATTAAAATTTAATTTCTCCTGGATTTTAATTTCTGCTGCCACATATTTTTTTTTTAGTTAGAAGAAAATAATCAGAAATCACCATTAGCTGAATGAACGATTCTCTATCCATTTTCTGCTTTTTACACATATGTTCAACGATACGACAGAACGAAAAAAAGATTCTTTCGTTCTGTTTGTCTTCAGGCTGAAGACAGCGGTCATCAGCAGGTTAATCAATTGTATTTCATGATATTGAGTAAAAGTAAAAAGCATTATATTTTCTTTGTCAAAATATTTCTTTTGGCCAATGAATTTGAAATCAATCGAAATCAATGTCAGGTTCATCGTTCAAAATGGCATATTCTTTGTGTTTTTTTTATATAAAATGAATGAAAATCATAGGATTGTTTTGAAATTTCAGGTCACTGTTTAGAAACCTTCCAGTCTAACATTCATAAGTCGAAAATCATATTCCGCTTACGCTAACAGCTGAACAACTCATTTTTCATTTCTTCGTTGGACGACGTAAATGTTCGAATGTTATTTACACGAATTCTGAATGAGATTAGTATTGTATTGTTATATGCATGTTCTATTTCTTTAAGATTTTCTTTAGCATCTAGGTATGACTGTGGGCTTATTGAAATGCAATATTTTCCTTCACGTTCGTTTCTTGCCGCTTGTTATATTGTTCCTTACTTTTGTCGCTGCATTCATAATACGCATGAGACCGCATTTCTTGTTACAATCAGTTCCTGGCACTTGTATATCTACTAGATTCAACTTCTTAACATCTCAAAATAAAACGTACAAAGATTTTGCGAATAAAATAATTATTGATGAAACGCAGTGGTGCTATAAAAATGAAGTTGATGATTTGTGGTGGCACTGGGACATGTCGGTCAATGGTCAGATGAGTATGTGATTTCCTCAAATAATTACAATTCTTAATCTTTCTTATTTCTTTTAACTGGAGCTGTTTGGAAAATGAAATGGTATAATCGAGAACCTGAAAATTCCTTAGGTGTCATCGTTTACCTGACTACAGTTGGCCAATTGTCTCAACTGAACGCTTCTCTACTATCACTTCGTCAATACCTTTTTAGGCCGCGCCCTGTTGTGGTATTTCATGAAGGTGATTTGAATGATGTTAACATTCAGCTAGCATTAGCCAACACACTTGGTTCAAATGTGCCGCTTGGTTTCGAACATATACGCTTTCCTACTAAGGTAATGGTCGTTGCTTTTCATTAAAATAGAAAAAGATGCAGTATTTCTTTAAGAGCCGACTTAGTGTTTATGTATCCTTGCTAGGGGTGTTACTTTATATTTACATTATGAAATAAATATAAATAAAATGTTTATATTCGTAAAATAAAGATAAATAAAATGTTTATATTTGTAAAATAAATATAAATAAAATGTTTATATTTGTAAAATAAAGATAGATATTTTATTTATATTTAAAAAATAAAGATTAATAAATTCTTTAGCTATATTTATGAAGTAACGATAAATGAAATATTTCTGTTTATAAAACAAAGATAAATAAATCAGATAATTCGAAAAAATAAATATAATATAAATATAAAGTTAGCAATTTTTCTATGAGCGAAAAAGGAGCAAATTTCTGTTGTAACAAGAGAGGAGGCTAATTGCAATTGCCCAGGTGAATGGATCCGACAGTGAATCCTGTCGGATCTCATGGGATCCAACAAGTCGCCAAAATCCGATCAGATTCCTGGTCACGAACCTACTAACGGGTCCGACGGAAAAAAAACATTTTCTTAATCACAAATGAATGAGTATTAGGGATGCAACAGTGACGGTGCTTCACTGGTTCACCGTTCTAACGGTAACCGTTTCAACCGGTGACCGTTCCAGCCGGTGACCGTTCCACCGGTAACTGGTCTAACCGGTAACCGTTTCACCGGTAACTGGTCCAACCGGTAACCGTTTCACCGGTAACTGGTCCAACCGGTAACCGTTTCACCGGTAACTGGTCCAACCGGTAACCGGTCCACTGGTAACTGGTTCAACCAGTACATATTCGATCAGTGATCTCCATACACCGGTATAGGCCGCTATAAACCGGTATATGAAGACATCAGGTGAGTACGGATGTGGTACTGAATAGGGACGCAGCGATCAGGGTGAGTCACGTTTTACCGGCTCATACCGGCGATCAACTCTAACCTGTATCTACTGATACTAGCCGATTTTGGTTTTTATACTGTCGATATAAACAAATATAAACCAAATACCGTTGGTATAAAACAGAAGTACGGTTACAATAAGGACAGAGTATTTTCACCGCTACATCTTTGTTAGTGGAATTTTTAACTGAAGCAGATAAGCGGTTGCGTTCGTATAGGTCTTTAAAGAGTACATTATAAAATTCTTTTTCTTGACTTCTGTAGTATTTGTTGATGTACTACCACCTATAAATGAAAAGGTATGTTTTTCTCGCATTCACTTTCGTATATATCGACTTTTTAAATTTTTATTAGAACGTGCTGTGTAGCTATAAAGGACATGAAATTCCTGATAAGTCAAGGTTTTAAGAATTTTTCAACGGCAGAGTGCTCTAACTTTAATTACAGATTATGAGATGATTGAATGAATCCATAATAAACACGCGAAAAATTCATCAAGCACTTACTGTTTCACGATTGCAGTATTCTTTACTCCTTTTGCAGTTAAGTTCCTAACGGCGAAAACAAAAGATTAATTTCTAATAGAATTGCATTCGTTTTCAGAGTGCAAGGATGTTTTCGTTAAACAAACGTTTCTTGGTATTTCTTGGTAAAACTTTTATCCAGAAACGGGAAACTTCTGGTTGTGCGCATATGAAGAAAGTTACAGGTTAGTAACTGCGGACGATAGCTTCCATTGTTCTAGTGCTCTTTATTTTCAGATATAGGAGTTTTTAAAATAAGAGTTATTTATTTCAATATTGATGTAGCGTAAAGAAAAAAGCGAATGATTAGCAACAACACGTTTAACAATATAATATTTGGACGAAAGAACTGGATGAATAAAACAAATATACATAAAAATTAGTTTTGAAGTCGGCGAGTTTTATAAAATATAAGTGGTATCGAAGAAAATGTAGCACAACTATGCTTTTTTAAGCCCGAAATATTAACAATATCGTCATAGAGTCAAGAGAAAAAGGTTATCGAAATCACTGTAGCAAATAAATAGCTTAAGTAAAGACTTCATCACTACATCAATTGGATACATAGTTAAGTCAAATCAAAAATAGAGAACTTTGAGCCGATGCTGTACAAGTAATAAATATAGTAATAAATAGAGAAAGAATAATAATATCACGTTCTAACCTAACAACAAAATATTTTTTGAGCAGTTCATTTTTGTTTACTTATTTTATCTTTTAAGAATACAGAGTAGCATAAATTTTGTGAAGAAAGGCGCGATCTCTCCTTACGTGCTGTGTGAGCTGAAATCGAGAATGCACTTTCACTTGGTACGCTTGTGCCACATGCAATCAGATGAATTCTGGCTAGACGCGATAAAAGTGGCAGCTTCGTGTGGTGAATATTCCAAAACCGCATAGCCGTCGTTGTTGATGGCTTGTTTTTCAAATTAAATTCTTGTACTGCCAGTTTAAAGTACTTCAATTCTTCATTCACACTTAAACGTTTACTTCTTTCCTTGTTACTTTCACCGATTATGTTTCCATCATCACCACAAGCAGCTATAAAATCATCATATGTGGACGGATTTGTATGATTGTTTGAAAGTGATTGAGGCAATTGAATAGACGATTTTGTTGACGATGTTGAAATAGCATTAGACGATGAAGAAGCTTTTGATCCATCACTTGTAGAAGATTGTTGTGGATAAACATCATTAAGTATTAAATCTTTAATATATCGTTCGTTTCGCTGTTTTTCGTTTTCTGTTAAGGTCAAATGAGCTGCAGGATCAAAATAAGAATGATTCTAGAAAGTTAAAGAATAGTCGTCGTTAAAAAAATGTTATAATATCATGAACTTGAAATTATGTCAAGCAAAAAAAACTAATTACGACACACCCACACCCTTTCATATAGAATAGGATGTATGGCCATGTTTAACTGCTTACTTCTAAGTGTTCATGTTGTTCCAAATCATCGTAAAAATAGTAATTTAATTTTGCCAATAGTAATTTCTTCATTTGTTTGATTTTCTCTTCATACGTATCATCTTTGCTACAAAAATGTTTCAACTTGTGAATAGCATGAAACGCTAATCCTATTGAAGGATAGTTCTTTCCAGACATAAGTTTAGTAGCATGATAAAACGGATTTAAAACGAATCTTAATGATGACAAAAAATCCCATTCGTCATTATTTAATTCAACAGCTATTAATCTATTAACTTGTTCCGATCGCAAATTAAAAGAACGTTTTTCGCTAAATAATTTCATTAATACTTGTTTACATTCGATGGTGGCTTCAATAAGAAGAAATGTAGAATTCCAACGTGTTTTACAATCGATACGGATCATTTTCTTAGTTTTCAATAATAACTGTTCTTTTCGAACAAATGCAGCAATAACAGACGATTTTTTGACAATTGTTGCAATGGTACGACATTTCTTCAACAAATTCATGATCAAGATTAATTCTTCAATCGGATTAAGATCAGTTTCAACATCATTCGACCAGTTATCAACTATTGCGTGTTGATCACCTGATTCATCATCATCTTGATCACTAGTTGAATGGTCACCTTCAGCCCCTTCAGCACCTTCAGCTTCATTAATATTATCAGAATCTGCACTACCATCGGCTGCATCAGACATATCAACATCAGCAATATTGTCATCAGATGATGAAGAATCTAAAGAATTTAATGTTTAGAATTTAGACGCGATCTATGAAAAATGTAAGTAAACTTTTTTCGCATCTTACCACAGAGACGAAACGAACACTTTAGTTAACCCAGAGAAAAGCTAGTTTGAGAAACTTTTAAAAACAACATAGCGTCTCAAGTATATTTAAATAAGTGGCTAATTTTCGTGTATGCATACACTCCTTTTCTATAATGAATCCTATTTGGATGATGCTTTTATGTTGATCCTGGATATCATATTCATTTTAATTGAAAATGACCTTTGAGCATAAAAAGTTGTCAAAACACAAGTCGATTTTTATAGTTTAATCTGAGTTTTTTAAAAGCTGTCTTTTCCAGAAGCTGAAATTTATTTAGAATGAACCTATTTAGCTTTTTGTTCAGGCATTACGAATACCAGAATGATAAAAAAAATCGAGGCTGATTCTTCAACTAACCAAAAATAGATTGTCTTACAATTCATGAAAGTATCGTGTCATAATTATCGCTAGATTTTGAAATGTTATGAATATATAGGCATTTTGTCAACGATGTCCCAAAATTTATTTTCCTAAATGTATTTTTCATATTAACATTGAGTCAGAAGACAATCATTAAAAGTACGTGACCAAAGAAAATAGAAAAGGCGTATATGTGTGCATGAAAACTAACCACTGATTTAATTCTACTTTAGATTTTATGCTTATAAAAATTTCTCAATCTAGCTTTTCTCTAGGTTAGCCAAAGCGTTCTTTTCACCTATGTGGTAGACGGAAAGAAATTTTATTTTTTTGTCTTTTCAGTATTTTACTTCGAGAAAAGTATACAATAGGATAGTATGAAAAAAGACGTTGACAAGCATGCAGATAAATGTTAATATTAAATAAACACAAAGCGTACCTTCATTATTTTCATCAGACCAACTCATATTCAACAGATCATCATCTTGCGTCGAAATAACAGTAGACGTTGTTGTAGTTGAACGTGTCATCGATGAAGACCGATTTTCGTTATCAACAGACTTTTCTTTAAACCAGAATCCCAAAGCATTGGTAATCACAAGATGTAAACGATGAGCACAACACCAAACTCGTTTAATATTATCGCCAAGATGACGACACGCAACTTTCATATTTTCAGCTCCATCGCAAGTGATGGAAATCACCTTGTCATGAATGTTCAATGATATGAGTTTGGCTTTCAAATAATTTGATATGTTAATTCCCGTATGCCGTTCATCAAAACAGGAAAAATCGATAATTTTAGAAATGTAATGAAATTCATAATCAATCCAATGACCTAAAAAACGAATAAATTTTCAAATCTGATTAAAATCATTGTCTATCCATAATTACCTGTAGCACAAAGAAACGAATTGGCTTGACGATCAGACCAAAAGTCAAATGTTAACGCTAACTGTTCAACTTCTTCAAGCTCTTGCTTTAGTAATTTGTAGTGGTAATGGTACAATTTTTTAATTTGTGCTGATACCTGATTACGATGTGGTGGCGTATAGCCTATGAAAAACAAGACTAATTTATTAAGAACAATGCTAGTACTTTAGTAACAGAATATGAGCATTTATCAATATTAAAAGCCCATCACTACAACTGATTACAAACAATATTAATGACAGTAACGACTGCGATAGATACGTGAATCTTAAAGTCATATGAGTTCTCTGTAGTTTACGATGGAAATTTTACGTTGAGGAAGATAAAAGACAGACTAGTGCGAATGAGCATTTGTGGAGCTTTGTCCACTAGTCAACTGATACTCGTTATCATGAAGGTTTTTAAATGATTATTGTAATCAGAGATGTTAGAACAGACAAACTTTCATTTTATTACCCTATATCTCGCTTCTTTCGTCAAAAGAGTCAACTATGAAAAAAAAGTGTCGTAACAGATTATGTCGATGTAATATTTGAAAAGGTAATGCTGTATCGATATTTTGAATCGATTGAAAAAAGTTTCAATTTTTCTCGTTGAAGATGGTTTTCGAAGAAAAATGATAAACTAGTTTAGGCATGAATTTCTCATCAAAGTTCAATAAATATATCGTACGAATATAGTCAATCTGTAATACATATATGCTAGTCTAGCTTTTGAAATTAGATATCAGAAGATATGAATTAGTCTATTCTATTATACTTGAATAAGTATCGGATTTTATTCAATACATCTGTAAACAACGCATTCATATTTCAGTAGATGCTTTAGTCTATCCAATGTTGAAGTAAACTAGCTTTTTTTATAATCGTATTTACCTGGCATCAGTCGATTGAATATTGTCATCATGCCTTCCTTACGGAAGTCATTAAAAGTTCGACTATCGGTAATGATGGCATTATAACATAAATTATGTAATTCTTTTTTTACATGCTCTGATACTCGAATATTTGTGCTCGATGATGATGCTTTTGTATTTAATAATAGATGATACTTCTTATGTTTCTGAATTAAATGATGACGAATGGTTGATGTTGAATGATTTGAACTAGTACAAGTATAATTACATAATTTACATGTAGCATGTTTTCCATCATCACTCTTCGTGGCGAACTCCCAAACAGCTGATGTTGATTTGCGGCCTGTAATTGTACATTGAGTAGATGATGATGATGCTAACGTTGGATTAGAAGCTGTTGTTGCTGCTGTTACTGATTGATTATCGTTTTTGAATTTCCATAGCTGCTGCCGTGGGCGAATTTGTATCTTCATCGAAGTTTTCAATCGGTTGTTGATTGTGGTACGTGTTGTTTGATTGTGTTTTTCTTTTCATAGTTGTATTCTAAAAAAAAGAATAAAGTTATTGTAAGCGATTTTCTTGTTATAAAACTATTTCTTCATAAACAGTTACAACCAAGCTGACGCATATAATGGATAAAGAAAATTTTTGTGCTAATGCGAAACTATGACTATTATACATTTCTTGATCTGAAGCTATTAAAAACAGAAACGTTGAATCGATCATCACGTTCTAATTTGAGTTCAAAATAACCCAGGTCGAGCGATCTGAATCTCGGATCCTGTCGGATCCCATCGGAAACCTAGAGTAATCCGATATTTTCCGATAGGAATCCGACAACTTCCGATGGGTTCCCGTCGGAAGTTGTCGGATTCCTTGGTATTGGATTCCGACAGGAAGTTATCGGGTGTCGGATCCAACGATTTCCGACGGTAAAATCCGACGATCGGAAAATGCCGGATAGCTTAGGATCCGACGAGTTTTTTATTATTATCAGTAACAACAAGCACCATTTTTCCAATATTGCTGCTTGATTTGCAATCGCTTTAATTTATTTCGCGAATTCAAAATTAATATAAAGAGGATGATCCAACTCTTTTTTATGGCTTCACTTACGTCTATAACCGTTTCATATTGGAATCGTTCATACAAAGAAACAAAAAATGGCACACACATTAGAAAAGAAAATAGAAAAATATCTGAACTAGTACTTTCGCGCATAAAGAACTGT